AGCAAATTTTACTTCGCGGAGCATGGAAAATTTAAAACTCCTACTAAAATAAAAAAATCTTTTATTGATAAAATTAAAGTGATAAAATATAACCGAATATGACAGAGAGGTCAAATCAGGAGATGAATTAGCATCACAGATGAAAAATAAAAAATAAACATTACTTTTTAAACGTATAAAATGGAAAGATATACAATATCTTTATTATTTAAGAAAGAATATTAAATTACATTATTTTAAAGAAAAAGAATAATTAAGGTGATTTAAAAGTTAAAAATGTAGGAAAAGAAATTAAAAAGCAAGGCAGGTAACCACAAACATTGATGTACGATGCTTTGATTATAAAAAGATTAACTAGTGTATTAAATAATAATCATAATGTTCAAGAGAACATAATGAAATCGCAAAAAGATTCATGAACATTATGATTATTATTTAATATACTGGTTAATCTTTTTATATTTGTATCGTACGTCAATGCTTGTGGTTACCTGTCTTGTTTTTTAATTTCTTTTCCTACATTATTTGAATTTTAATAAAATAAATACACAAGTAGAGTTTTTATTTCATAAAAAAACAGGAAATGACGCAATTTATCGCATTTTCTTCTATTTCTCTTGTTTAAACTACATTCTAACAATACTTAATTTTATTATCGCGTAAGTGTCACTTCAGAGAACGATCGTAAAGTGCGATAAGAGCCTCGCGTAAAAATGGTCTCAAAGTAGACGATGGTTGATGCGTCGTCTCAAGGACTCTACAAATCTTTAACCGACTGGTCCCGGGAATGCTTGATCACCGCTCCGTAACAGGTTATAAGTCGAAAAAGAAGACAATTCGCACAGGTGCGCTTCTCGCGGACTGTAGACTGTAGACTGTTATGTAACAGTTTGCATTACAGGATCTAGCAACCGATACGTGCGTTTTCTGTATGCCATTCCGACCCATTCTCCGCGTCTCCCTCCTGCGGTATTCCTGTTGTGTTATCGCGCATACTTGTAAGGCCACCGTTGGGCTGTGCATGCAAATTCGTGATTGTATTGCACTAACTGATGAGGACAAATTGAACTAAAAAATGGCGAGGGGTTTGTTATTTTATTCTCAAACTGACTTACGATCTTAAGAAGCCTTTGCAATGTTTATAAAATTAATATTACTATAAAAAAGATTAAATAATTTAGCAACTCTTAAAATTTTATAAGATTTCTTATAAATCTACTTGATAATTTTTCTCAGAAATTTTGGAAAACTGGAAAAATAACATTAAACATTTATTAAATTTAAATAAAATTTAATGATGTATACATCTAAATAATTATTACGTTTCTTAATTAATTTCGATTAGATTTTATTTTGATAGAGACTTAATTACAATTTCAATAAAGAACGAATAATCAATTTGAAGAAATTTAATGTTAAAAATATTAATATCGATAATTAAAGTTACTATAGCAATAATATTAAATGCATGCAAATGATACCTAAATTATAATTTGAAAATTCTTTTAGACTGTTCAATAACGTTTATCGATGTGATTTTATTTATCGATGACCACATGAGACTTGCAAATTCATAGCTCTCAGTTATTTTTGGTATCAAGCAGATTTAGAAGACGTCATTCCGTCAGGAATAGCGAATATTATCCTCGAGACGGTCTCTGACGGTCTGAATAGCTCACTACTCTTAAATTTATGATGTTTCTTTATATGTAATAAATGATATATATTGTGTATATGTTTTAATTATAATGATAATGTTTATATTATTTAAATGAAAAAATTGAATCGTAATTTACATATTACAAGCCATTAAAATAATTACAAATTTTATTATCATAAAACCGACAAGAATTAATTTTGAATGTGTCAAAATTTTTAATTTGCGTTAGAAAAAAAATACTTTCATATTTTTACGAGAGAGTATAGCGATACTTTTCTTAGTTATGCATGGGACATGCACATTATACTTAGAATTATAGGAATTACATTGAATGTAAGACGATCTTGCTTCTCTGCTGACTTGAGTTAAATTCTTCTTCGTGACGTCCTTAAAATTATTATTGTCATTATAAAACATGATTTACCTGATTTACCGTAAATCCAACATATTTCAAATATCGATGTAATAATTTCAAGGACGTGTTGTTCGTGGTCGATATACGCGGGATGGTTTTATACACCGCAATACTTTAACTTTACCATATTTTTATTCTTTAAACGCATGCCAACCGCAATACTAACAACTGGAAGCGTGGACTTTCATTCTTGTCTAGGGTAAGTTGTGAATAATTTTTCAGCATAAATGTTGCATGTTGCCCAAACGAGAAGTGATGCACGATTTTAGCGACACAAACTCTCTCGCGAATGCTGTTTTTCCTGAAATATATCTTGATTAATAAAAATCGGCGACTTGTGTAAAACTTCTCTTTGCAAATATTTATTCTCTAAAGGAGAAGCCGATCGCACTTTACATACCTGTTTCTGTTAAAAAAACATCGTTTTAACTATTTGCCGTGAAGATACAATAGTTAAAGGCAACAAATCATATGTTATTTAATAAAAAGGCAATTCTATGCCGTTACATCATGATCATAATCATGACTGGTGATTTTTTAAATGCTGTCCTTGAAACGTTATCTAACATATGCGACAATTCATTTATTTGAAAAAAACTGCATCTGTTGTAAAATATATATATATACGTTAGAGTTTCCCGTAATTCAATTAACCTTGTTATTTTTGTTATTTTCTGAGGGATGTACGTAATATTCTATGATATATGCGTGTCAAAATATATTGATAAAATAAGTGAAATTTGCTGGTAAAATAATCATTCGAAAGTATAATTTTATCATAAATTAATATTAAATAGATGGCTGTTCAAACACATAACCGATTTATTTCTTTTCTTTTTTTATCTGTAACATTAATACATACTTTTATCTGTCATATCAAACGAAAATCATCTTTGAATGCAAAAATGCACCATATAACATTATAATTGTAAAAGCAATATGTGACATTGATAAATAATTGCAGGTGATTCCGTGCGGTCTTCAAAAAATCTGCCACGTAAGATTACAAAGAATTTTCTGATCCTCACATTTTATTTCAATGTATTTTTAATGTCCAGATTAAAAAAAAAAAATTCAAATTAAGTCATAACATGTCAGAATAATTGTTTGTCATCGTTTGTTTGATATTAGTTGAATTAATCACTTGATCATAAAGATACTCCTTGATAATACTTATTCGAACACATCGTATCTATTTAGATATGAATTATTCAGAAAATATATGACAGCAAAATCTTGTTTTATTTTTGTTATTCTTACAAGATTTTAATTTAAAAATATATCTCATTTTTATTTATGATTTGCTTAGAAATATGTAACAGCATAATAAATTTAAATGTCACTGTTTTTTTAAAAATTATCAGTTGTAATATACAACTATTATGATTTTTGTTTTTATTATAAAATAAATATAATATAAATTAACATTTCTTTATGTTTGGCAGTTCATACGAGAGAAAAAGATGATAAAATAAAAAATCCTGTATATATATGTGACATTATTAAATCTTTCTCACTTTTGATATTGAAAGTAGTACACGTAGCATATCTTGCATTATTACACGTTTTGTATCATTTTCAGACATTGTATTTGAAATACCACAAAAAAATGCACTTTTATTTTTCATTGCAATTTTCATTGCGATAGTTATCAGAAACTTTCAATGCTTATCTAGTATAGCCCAGATAATGTTGTTTTAAGCAATATTTTTCTATTTATCGCTATATACAAAACTCGTAGATAAATAGTCGACAAACACGAGGAATATAAACTTTCGATGAGCCGATTATCGTGACGTAAGTTCTTTCAGTGATACACCTGGATAAGATTCCATGAGAATGGAAAATAAATGATTAAGACGAACACATTCATCGCGTTGAAATACTTTGCGATAGTATCATTTTGAGTATCTTAATGTAATCCAATAAAAGCGATTATATCGTCATCAATTGATGTGAAGACGAAATCGTGTCTGCCTCTTTAGGAAGACGGTCGATTCCGTTTGTCGAAGCTATTGATGGGAAATTCCATTGACAGTAGGGGAAAATTTCACTATTAAATATAAATTACTGTTAAGTGATTTCGTAAGCAATGCAATATTTTATTATTTAAAATTTTTTTGTTTTACAATATAGTATAATTTTTAAAATTAATTCATAATTTTTTTAATTAACGTAAAATGTAGGATATGCTTGAAAAGCACATATATTTTAGGATAAAAAAGAATAATTCTTTTTTATTTTTAGCGCAAATATCAAACACCGAAGCACAGAACATATGAGTGTACATACATACACACACACACACTTACATTATAATCACACATTTTTGAACGACGAATATTTTTTAATTATATTTAAGAAATAGAAAGAAGTAGGAAATATTCGTCTTTGATCGATAATGCAGATATCGTACGCGTTACATAATTATGACGAATTGTTGTCTGATAATGCAAACAAGACGTGAATATGTTTGCGGTTAGAGATATGAATATTCAAATACATATATAAGAAAGAATTTATCAGAATTTGTGAAATCGAAATTTTTACAAGCAAAAAATGTAAAATATAATATGATAATATTTTTCCCATATCGTGTTTAATTTTTATATACATATAAATGTATAAAATATAACATGCGAAAATACATTTCGCATGTTATCCTTTTCAATGCATTACATTTTGACGCCAAATTTTTTCATTATATTTTAATGTATTTTATACATTCGTTATCACATATGTGTCTCATTTATTCATCTATAATCCTTACATCACAAGAACTTTTTTCCGCATGTTTAATCATTCTTTTCATAACGCGATCCGTAAATACCGCATGCTTTTACACATTTGAACAACAAGTGTGATCTTTGCTCAAGCACGATGAATAATTTTAGCGGAGTTATTTATTTTTCATTTATTTTACAGGTGATGAATCAGGAGGTGAAGAAAGAAACTCCACTGCAGTTCAAATTCCGTGCAAAATTCTATCCCGAGGACGTCGCCGAAGAACTGATACAAGATATTACGCTTCGACTTTTTTACCTTCAGGTAAAAAAATTGTTAATTAAATATTTATCTTTATCATATTTATGCAGTTTTAGTTCACGTACACAATATTTAATTTGCTACTCTGTTTCGCAAAATAATTTCTGAGCCTTGTCACAGAACAGGTCGTGTTGCACTGTAAAAACAGTGAGACTGGATCGTGTGTCGATATAATCGTATTCGAGAGCGAGTAACGTAACAACAATGCAGTTCATTTATTCGTCGCTCCAAGTAAGCCACGTGCACCGGATGGTCATTCGTTTATCTGATTTGGTTTTTCCCATCATTTTATTTTCCTCAATGGATATGCGACTGCAAGAAATGCGTTTCAATTTTTTGCTATTTAGACAAGCACATATGGTTAATGTTCGAAAAGAGTGATGATTTTCGTCAAATTATCGTCAAAATTTTAAATAAAAAATTGTTTATTTCAAACATATGAAATATATATTTACACGCGTTATTTTTAGATATTTTATATTAATTATTTGTTATATAAGTTGCGATTTTATTATTGAATTTTAACATAATATACACGTTGATCAATATTATTATACAAATAAATTAATTACATTTCTTTATTAATTGATATCTTACAATCAACGTTTTTTGATTGATTGCAGGTGAAGAATTCTATCCTCACGGACGAAATATATTGCCCACCGGAAACATCCGTCCTGCTGGCCTCATACGCCGTTCAAGCGAGACATGGAGATTATCAGAAGGGCAATCATCCCACTGGCTTCCTGGCGAATGATCGACTGTTGCCACAGCGCGTCGTTGACCAACATAAGATGAGCAAAGATGAATGGGATAGTTCTATTACAAATTGGTGGCAGGAACATCGTGGCATGTTGCGAGAAGACGCCATGATGGAGTATCTGAAAATTGCTCAGGTATCTGTTTAAGTAGCGTGTACAGGATGTAAATTTGAAATCCACAAAGGCGAAGGCTTCAGGCGAAAGCGGATAGATGGCGCGTATGGATATTTATTTTCACTGCAAAATTATTTTTGTATATATTGTGTAAGTGGTCTTTGAAATTTTTATTTTACGAATTCTGTTTCTGTAAGCTTTCTTGATTCATTCCTGAAGACTTGTCGCATCTACGATAACTATACGTTATGTTTTAATTATACTTTATAATTATTCATGTAATCTTGTATTTCAACTCGATGTTTGTTTAGGAGGCAGTATTTTTTAACTAAAGTTTGTAACTAAGTTTTTTTTTATTTTTTTTTAACTCTATTTTTGTAGTTTACATTTTACTATGTGAAAAGTTGAGAAATGCTGCTATTTTTTGGTGTTTCTAGTATTGTTTTAGTATTTTTTTTATTTCTTGCTTTCCGTAGGACTTAGAGATGTATGGTGTGAATTACTTTGAAATTCGCAACAAGAAGGGCACAGACCTTTGGTTGGGTGTGGATGCTTTAGGTTTGAACATCTACGAGAAGGACGATAAGCTTACGCCGAAAATCGGCTTCCCGTGGTCTGAGATACGGAATATCTCGTTCAACGATAAGAAATTTATAATCAAGCCAATCGACAAGAAGGCGCCGGACTTTGTCTTTTTCGCTAGCAGAGTGAAGATTAACAAAAGAATTCTCGCACTATGTATGGGCAATCACGAGCTCTACATGCGCAGACGTAAACCGGATACGATCGACGTACAGCAGATGAAGGTATGGAATATTATGTGTCAATGATATGTCATATTTGAACTATGAAATCGATATAAATTAATTTATATATATTTATATATATTTATATATATATTGATGTACCTTTACTTATCTACTAAATCTTATATAACGTTATCATTAATGATTAATTTATTGGGCATTATTTTACGTAACCATTATATAGCATATTGAATTTGTTTAAGGATTAAAATAATATTATTTAATGGTACAAGAAGTTGAAAAATACAACAAATGTGTGGCTGTTAAAATTTATTTTAATTATTTATAAAAAAGTGAATAATAATAATGAACATTGATATCTTAAGTGTGAAATTGTGATGAGAGATTGATAACATTTGATTTCTTTATTAGGCTCAAGCTAGAGACGAAAAGATTGCAAAACAGCAACAGAGAGAAAAATTGCAATTGGAAATAGCTGCCCGAGAACGTGCGGAGAAGAAACAGCAAGAATACGAAGAAAGGCTAAGAAACATGGCGGAAGAAATGGATAGGCGGCAAGCCGAATTGAATGAGGCTCAGGAAATGATTCGACGTTTGGAGGAACAACTGAAACAATTACAGGCTGCCAAAGAAGAGTTAGAAAATCGCCAGAAGGTGAGAACGAATTTATTTAATTGCGTAGTTTAAAATTGCCAAGAATAAGTAATTCTATTGTTACTTTTTTTATAAATTTTCACATAATTAATATTCGTTTTATTATGCACATTCATCTTATGCATGATTTTTTTATCTTTGTTATCTTTTTAATCTTCGTGTTATCGTGCAGGAATTGACAGCCATGATGGAAAAATTGGAACTCTCGCACGAAATGGAGGCTGCAGAACGTGTTAAACTCGAACAGGAAATAAGAGCTAAGCAAGAGGAGGTGCAACGCATACAATCAGAAGTGGAGGCTAAGGATGCGGAAGCTAGAAGATTACAAGCAGAATTTGAAGCTGCCAAGTATAGCAATTTTCCTTTTTTTCATCCTTTTTTTTAAATATAATTGTATATAATTATATGTAATTTAATATAATTTTTTTAAATATAATTGTATGTTACGTCTTATTATGCAAGATTGAGACAAGAAGAAGCTGACCGGCAATATCAGGCTAATCAGACTCCGCATCATCATCATGTCGAGGAAAATGAAGAAGGCGAGGAAGAGGGTGAGGATGAAGTGCCTCAAGGAAACGTCACTAAGGATCTTGCGACTGACGAAACTATAATCGATCCTGTTGAGGAACGACGCACTTTAGCAGAAAGAAACGAACGTCTCCACGATCAATTGAAGGTATATTTAATTTTAATACGTTTTATTCGGTTTTTTATTTCTAATTTTAAATAATCATTTTGTAATTGTATCTACTTTAAAATATTGCAAATATTTATTTTCTTACAAATATGTTTCTGATATTTAATGCAAATTTGATGATTTTATACACGTAAAACATTATTTTATTATTCCACGTGAAACATTATTGTAGTTATAGAATATATCCATTGACAGGCATTGAAACAAGATCTCGCCCAGTCGCGCGACGAAACCAAGGAAACGGTGATGGATAAGATTCACAGGGAAAACGTGCGCCAAGGTCGCGACAAATACAAGACACTTCGCGAGATTCGCAAGGGCAATACCAAGCGTCGTGTTGATCAGTTCGAGAACATGTAAATTAATGTACGTGCATCTAATCGCTTACCTTATCCTTTCCTATTTTCAATTTCTCACTTGACTTCGTGGAAATGGGGAATGCAGTAAAATGATAACGAGATACTGATAAGATAAAGATAGAAAAAGAAATAGAGAAAGAAATAGAGAAAGGTAATAAATTTTACAATCGATGTATAAATAGAATCATTTGAATAACATATTCGATCAGTTTAACCTTTCTCAAAGTTCGCGCACGGATGACGCCGTGATTATCGAGAATTACTAACGAGTATGATATTTGTCTGACACATTAGATCGATGACGAGATTCTATCCTCATGCAAACTGATAATCAAAGCTCGCACGTTTTTTGGCGAGGAGAACGCGACGAGAGCGAGCGACTCGCACCGTCTTCCACGTATGCTTCCACATAAATTAATGCTGCACGATCTCGATTCTATCGAGAATCATCACGTGCCTCCGCAGCGCGGATAAATTTTCTCGTTATTTTATGCAAGTATGTCTCGTGAAAAAAATGATAATTTTTTTTTTTTTTTTAATCTAGCTAATTGGAATTAGTTCTGAATCTTATATTATTCTCTATATACTAATAATTTACCAAGTAATTTTATTATCTTAGATGCAGACATACTTATCGCTGAAATGGCAAGAAAATTTACATCACAGTTTGTTACCTTTACTTAATCTTATTACTTAATCTTTTCTCCGCGCATCAACGGGCCTAACATTTTCATATATTGTGAGGTGCTAATACTGGTCTCGCTTCATGATAAGCTTTACTGCCGATCACTTATTTCGCGATCTTTAACAGTTGGTTACCTAAGCTCTGCCTTGCCCGTCGCGATTCTTATCGCGTCGTCGCGTATCGTCCGTCCTCGTTATTAAGAAAATCGCTTTCAAAAATCACACGTCATCAGCATCACTATCACAGCTATTTACATCTTTACTGATGCGTCGCGATGATACTCGCGGTCGTTACCCGTTAACGGACAACTTTCTTCTATTTTGTACGCTTAATTCGCGAGCCATATTTGTAGACAGGAGTTTGTTCGGGCAGTTGCTTGACACTATACATTGATATAGTTAATCAGATTTGTAAGCCACTTCCGGACATTGGCCATAGAAGAATCAAGATTTAGGAGCACGGTTTATATTGTAGCGAGTTAGGTAGAAATTTAGGCGTAATTTTCTTGAAGTTCGTATTGGGCAGCGACCGTTTCAAGCAAGGGAATCTCGTGACACATTCGATTTTACTCATATTTCAAATGAATAAAATCCAAAAATTGTTCTTGAACAATATGAAATTATTGGGAAAATAATTAGATTATGTATATATGTTGAAATATACATTTATTGACAAATTTTGACAATCGTATAGAAATGAGAATACCTATATTAAATATATTTCATTTTCAAAATTTTATTATAAAAATTCTCTTTCAAAATAAACGTGTTGTCTATCGTAATTGTGAAAAATATTGTTCCCTTGTTCGTCACACACGAATCATTATCGCAGCGCAGTCCATCACCCCAGGTTAAACGTAAGCGATTCAACGATGGCGTGGCCTATTCATTACCGATAAAACCGTATCGAGCTATTTTCGTACGAGCGAGTTTCGATAATATTAGCAATTTTATATTGAACACACTCGTGGCCTTTACTTGATATAAATATACATATATATATGTCGAAGAACTGTAGGTAGTATACTAATATAATGACATTAGCGAAGAGAAGGAGAGATGTAAGGATATCGCGCCATAAAGGATTCATCTTCTCGCATACATCATCTTTCAACCCAAGATTGAACTGCGCGATACCTGCGAACGGATTAGCTACCAAGATTTCCAAGAAAGAATGAGGGAACGAATGCGAGAGAGGGAGAGAATGCGATGAAGGAAATAATTAACGTATGAGAGAGGCCGAGTGATATCTAAAACAAACATTTATGGCAATTTGGGTAAGTTTTATGCCATTGTAATTTTTAAAACTTTTTGTCCTTTTAAGAGAATCCTACGCAATGGAATTAAATTAACGAAACTTGAAGTAATATGCAACTTCGAGAAATGCTGCCAATTTTCTCATATGATGGAATGAAAACAAAGAGCGATAATAAAATATGATAGATGCATGAACTTCATTTTCGAAGGCAGATCGCGAAATTATTAAAATGTAAACATGATTGTCGTACCAAAATTTGTATTTTGTTATGTTATTCTCATCAACCACGCATTACAATAATATATGAAGCAAAAAGGAAGGAAAAGTACAGAAGTAATAACCATAGATATTTTTTGATTATATTTAATATTAAAAATTTACGAATTAGTAGTGTTATATTATTAATATTAATGTTTACAATTTAGTAGCGTTATTTTATTATTATTATTATATTAATTATTATTATTATACAGATAATATTGAATGAAAACTAAAGCAAAGCATTTTATAGTCGTCAATTTATATTCTGTAAGGTAATCTAGCAAATAGATTTAGTCGCAATTTAGATATGTTAAAGAAGCAGTGCATTTGGGAAGAAGATTCTAATATTTTTATGTAAGTTATTCTTTTAATTGCTTTTTTAAATTTTTTCTATGCACATATATATTTGTGCAGCCGAATGAATAGATCTAGAGATCTTCTCTACGAGTGATAGTATCTAAAAAAAGTAATTGACAATTTATTATTCTCAATTTTGTTTTAGCTTTTCATTTAAGAATGTATAAACTTGCGACTAAATGTATATGTGCGAACAAAATGGAAACAATATTACATACTAATTAAAGAGATCGCACGATGACATTCTAATAGTCGATAAAATAGGCGAGAGCAAACTTGAGAACTCGTCTCGATATTCTTTGGCGATTAAACGCTTTGGCGAAACCGATGGATTTTTATTGAAACATTCCAGAAGAATTTCCTGTAAAGTACTTTATCTCCATGATCTATATTTTGAATTTCTGTGAATAATGAATTATAAATATTCCATTTAAACTATCGATTTGTGAACATTATGTCTTGACCTTTTTTGCCACTTCGCAAAAAAAAAATGGATGAATTTCCAGTTATCTTTTGGAATGTACTTAACTTTAAAATGCACTTTCTGTACAATTCTTTTAACTTTCGAATCGGTACAGATTCTTAAATCATTCGTAGCGTTTGAGGAAATACGATATTAGATATTCGTTTAAATTACAATACTTGATTGTATTTGCACATATTATCATATATGTGATTGAAATAAATGATTAGCGTGAAAAAACAAAACTGTCCAATTTTGATTTTTTACAAATAAATGTAACAAATTCTCAATTCGATTCAATATTTCTAAAATTTCATAGCGAGAAAATACGTGTTTTGTGTTGCGTTTATGTAAAATTATTTTTATCTTTGAAATGTGCATTCTAGAGTTAAATAACATGTTGTCTTAATATTTCCTTTGCACTCACGAAGGTAGATCTTAACAAAGCGAAACTATGTTTGTATTATGTCCCTCATGAAAGTACCACGTAGTACTATGGCAATTTTCCTTAGATTTGTAATATAGCCAAATGTGCATTTAGCACCTTTATCACGTATTCTATTCGTCTTCTATTTAAGCTGTTGAACAAAACTCTGCGACATCGTAACATAATTCGATACTTTTATGTATACAATTCAATACTTTTTCACTTATCTGCAGTTGTGAAAAAAACATTCTCTTGTAACAGTATTATTATTGAATTATTGAGAACAGCGGAACACACAACGAGATATTTTGTTAAAAACTAAATATTATAAACTGAATATTATTTGTTGGTGCGAGATGAAAGATATAATGTAAAAACTACTTGTACTTTCTTGAGGAAACTAAAGATTGTTTAAATAAAAGATTCATATCTCAAATCGGTTGACAGCTGCCAATCCTCTGTTAAATAGATTATTAATCTATTTATATAATAAAGAATTAAAATTAAAATTTCTAAAGTTCTTTACAGTTTCACAATACAATGACTAAAAGAATAAAAAATTGGAAACTAGATAGAAATAAGTGGAAACAAATCTAGGACTGCTAGAATATTATTTAGATACATAAATATGCTCTTATTAAATTATTTCAATATTGATTATTGTTTTTGCATACTTGTATTATTAAAATTTCCTATAAACTTTCGAGATAAATTACAACAATGTCAAATAAGAAGCCATATAAGTATTGACAGTTGACATTTGAACATTAAAATTTTAATAAAATAAGACTATTCACATAATATAAATATAAAAGTAATATAAGAAGAAAATAAAATATTTTAGAAAAGATGTCTAAAGTATCACCAAAGAGAAGACAACCGAAAACCTGAATATCATCCTGGAAATATCAGCAATTTACAAATATCAATAATAAAGTTCAATAATAAAAGATTAATATTAATATTATTCTTTAGAGTTAAAATGTAAATTATGTGTGTATGAATTATCTTAATCGAACTCTATAAAATTCTTTTTAGGCATTTTAAAAAGATGCAAGCTGACACGTTCGAAAATTACCGCCTCGACATCTATCGGTGATCTTCGGCAAACATCGCAGCGCATGCGCTTCAGCGATGATCTTCAGAAATGACGACGTGCGTGTTTCTCGTGCAAGTGTGAAGAATGTCGCGTCTCGTCGAATCGAACGATGCCATGAGAATTCCCGGCTACGAGTCGACCGACGACGAGGACGCCGATTATGGCAGGTGGGTGCCTGGTGACACGTGGCTTCGCATGTAATTTGCGACGCACTTCGATAATGAAAACCGGCGCCCGCATCGCATCGCTATCGGTGACACGCTCATTGTTTACATAGGCTAACTATCCGCCGGGTTTTTTTGGGCGGTTCAGTTGATGCGCGACACTTTGACGTACGCGTGACAGTGAATTTTCGCGTCTCTGAATTTTTGTGCCTCGAATACATTCCTTCGACGCTCATCTGTTGCCAGTTTTGTGACGATTCCGATATCGAGGTGACGAGATCGACAATGAAAGCGTGAAGGAGAGAGTTTTTATTACAAACTCAGCAATTTGTATCATGCAAGACGCATCTCCGTTTGTCAGTAGACGAATTTTATTAGTTTCTTGTCGTTTATCAGTTCTTGACACTGTAGATTATGATTGATCCAATATGTTCACACATTGTTATAATTACATCATAATTATATAATTATTTGTTTACATATAATTATATAATTATTTGTTTATCTTTCAGAAATTTTTCTAAAATAGGAAAATGACACAAAAGAATCACTTTTCTATGTTTATATTGTTGAATGTTTTCTTGTATGATATATATGTATATTTTCTTGTATGATGCAATAATGTTTGCAACAATAGAGGATTAGGGATTCTTTATACAAATCTTTTAAACAGAATATTCAATGAAATTCTGATGCGAATTTATAAACTCTTAATTTGATAGATGTAATTGTAATAATTATTAAGGAAATTGTGTTATATCTTTAAGATAATAAGCAACATATTTATATAAATGTTCTAATCTGAAACTTTGACGACAATTTATCTGTTGTTATTATATTATTAATATAACAGATAAAAATGATATGGAAATCAAAATTTTACAATTTAATTAAATATTAACTTTGTATTAAGTATAAGAAACGAGTAGTGCTTTTCAATATAGCAATAGTTTTATATATCAAAGTTAAAGTTGAAGATTCTTTTTATGTTATAAAAATATTTTAACAAATTGTCATCAAAGTCCATATTCCAGCATGTAAATATGTTGCAACTCACATTGTTTTAGATTAAAAAAAAGAGGTTTTTTTTATATAAGTATACCTTAAAATGTTGAATATTCTTAAAAAAAAATCACATAATTAAACGCAATGAGAAATTGCATAAAGATAGCTCTCTAAAAGATAATGATTTATTTTAAAAGTAACATCCTGTCTTGTGAAATTTTCTCGACAATAATCAGCGACAAACCTTCCGGCGGAAATATATATTCGATTAAACATCATGTTTGCAGTAAGGCTGATTCGTCGAACGAATTCGAGGAGTCGCTACACGCGATGTCCGATATTTACGGACAAACTCCGCCCAGGACTCGTCTCAGTCGCAAGAAAAGACATATGAAGCAAAAGTTCTCTGGCAGGTATATAATTAAAACAGCAAATTTTAGATTCACACGAATAATTCTGCTAAAAAAAACATAATCATTACATACAAATGTTTCATTTGGCACAATATAATTTTTAACAAAAATAATTAAAATTATGTAATATATCTTGCAATATATTAAATATAAGTGAATTTAATGAGTAATTGTAAAATATAAACGATATGATATTGTTATATATAATTTTAAGACAGAAAGGATATTCGTAATTATAAGAAATAAAAAAATTATTTTTAACAAATACAGAAAGTATAGAAACATTGTTTATTAAAAGTAGTTTTCACAATATCGACTGACTCGTTGCTAATTATAACTCGAGTGCTAATTATAACTATGAAGTATACCTTTATAACTATGACTACCTTTAGCTTTTTTTATCGTTTTTAGTGATCTTAAATCGATAGAAAAAGAAGCTCGGCCAAAGATAACAATTCGAAGGCGCAACACCTTGGACACTATTATCTTCAACGAAATGTGCGATAAAGCGGACAAAGATTGCGAGAACGAGGCGAAGGAGGATACGAAGGAGGGTAGCAGAAAGTGCAAGAGAATTTTGAAACTATTGCGCGGTAATGAAAGAGATTTGAAGCTCGATGTAGAAGCTGCTTACAATTATGCCGAGAAACATAATGGCGACATGGCGAAGGTGTCGACGCCGAATCAAATCAAGGTTCGACAAAAAAATAATTTTTATTATTAATTATATTTAGAAAGCATAATTATAATATTTGCGTATATTTTTAATCTATCAGCCAAAAGCCAATTATTCGATTCGTGTAAATTTTCTGAACTCTTGTCCTAAACAAGCTCTTTTACTATTCACTGTTTTGGCATGTTATCAAGCAGTTGTAATCTTTCTCACAGATTGAAACTAGAAATAGATTTCGCTGTTTGCGATCCAAACCGGTTGATGTTGAAGAGAAAAAATTGGAGCGAGAAATCAACGAAAGAAGCGTGTTGATAAACGAAGAGAGTTTACGTGCGCAATCGCCGAGAACGCAAAGCTTAGAAGAGAGACGAATATTTCACGACACTTTTTCTTTCTTAATTAAATTAGTAAGTATCTTAAGCTTATTGCACATAAAACTTACATTTGTTATATAATTAATACATTTAAACAAATTAAAACAATTTGACCTTTTTTGTATAATATAATATAAAATAAATACCAAGATTTGTCAAAACTACAAAACAAATCTTTTTTTTATACAGGGAAGTACAGAGCGAAATTGTCGCCGTCAAATAAGTCACGAAGAAAGTAGGTGGCAAAACGAATTAAAAGACCTGATATGGCTGGAACTACAGGCGCATCATGCAGATCGTAGCCCGATGGCGCAGGATGAATATTTATGTCGTCAACGCGAAACTGTAGAGGCTCTGCTTACAGAAATAATGGAATACAGGTAAGCAAAAACTTGTTAAGATTTTCAAGGTATTGCTTCAGAAATGCAAAAAGAAAAATCTTTTCTTTGTGAAATTGTAAATGTAAATTGATGTGCTCAATATATATCAATAATTGATTATAAGAAACAAAAATAATAGTAATATATATGTATGAAATAAACGCAATTATTTCATTAGATACGATCCTATGGCGGATACGCATGAGGGAGGTTGCATCAGTCCTAGCGACACTGCAAGCGATCGATCCACAAATCCTGGTTCCAGTCTGAACATCGAATTAGGTGTATGTCCGGGTTGTCTTTCCATGTACTGCCGTGCGTGCGTGCGTGCACAGGGAGAAGCGTTACAACAAGTGGAAGGTCTATTAGCTCGTCTGGAGGCAGCAGAAGCCTTATATCCATCCTGCCAAGCATTTGCTGTTAATTATCCGTTATACAAGAGTCCAGAATTCACCGATAGAGTGAAAGCTATGTGTCTTTGGTACAACATGACGAAACACCATCGGCTCAAGTTACAGATATTGGGTAGATTGCTCATGATGCTGCATGGTAAAAAGAAACAAGAGGATTTCAACGACTCTGGCATTAGGTACATTATTTGAATTGCATCATTTCTTCCCAATAATTTGAAATATATATTTTTCGAATTTCTTCATACATTATAAATGAGAATTTTATTCTTATTCGAGACATATCTTTAAATTCTTTTTAATGTGTGTAGAAATGTCAGTTAGATAATTAATTGTGTTTCTATCCTTAGTTCGCGATCTTCAGATACTGTCGATTCTACGGAACGACAATGCATGGTGCGATTTGAACTACCTCAACACGACGAAACTTCCAGTCCCTCTGATAGCAATAATAGTAATAATTCTTCAATAGGAGGATTATCTTTTATATCGCAGTCGCTGCCGCCTACTCCGGAAATTTCATTCTCATATGTGGAAGACGAAAGAATCGATCGACTTGATTTCTATTTAGTCGAATTCGAGCGACACGCTTACAGGTATATTTTGAATTTTTAAATGTATATTTAATGTATATTTAATCTCTCTTTAATGTATATTGAATGTATATTGAATGTATATTTAATCTCCCTTTTTTGGTATATCTAAATACTTTAAATGTATCAAGAATAATTTTTTGATATTATAAAATTTATTATAAATTTTCTTGTATCCTTATTTTATTTCAAAGCAATTTGATACAATTTAGAATTTTATTACACAATATAAATATTATTGAATTATATAATATAAATAATTTTTGAAGTATATAATATAAATAATTTTTGCACACTCAGAAAATACATCGAGGATGTATTAAAAACGAGAGGCCTTAGAAAAAGTCTAAATTTTCTGGATCGATTACATACATCTATCTTGAGAAAAGCGAGATTAACTTTGGAAAAAAATGACTGCGAAGGATGCGATAGCAATGCGAATGAAGAATACGAAGGTGACAAAGAGCTACGACGATATGGCACTTGGAGTCCCGAAGCAAAGGAGTTAAATTTGCCATCGTATAGGTATTTGAAATTTTTTATTTAAAGGAATTTCCCAACTTTGCTCAGATTGAGAAATTTATTTCATTCCAATATTTTAGCTTAAATTAAATGAGCTTAAATTAGCTTAAATTTGATGATCAAATTAAATCTAAAACGTTCATGAGATTGAATTAAATTAAAGCTAAGATAAAAAATAGGAAAAAATAAAATAAATATCTATATTTTCAATAATATTGCATCTGTAAAAAAAATATGGAGTTTTAAATGATGAATTCTTTCTTAGAAAAATTTTTAAATATAATTTGGATCAGATTTGGAATCTACCAGATAATATTTTTATTTGAATTTGATAGAGTGAAAAGAGTTAAACATGCTGCAAACTGTTATATTGCAGGGCAGCTTTCATGTTTCTCTCACGTGTACCGTTGGACGTGGTTCACGAATTTCTAAGAATGAGATTAGAACAGAAGCCGGAGCAACCGAGTCCGTTGTCGGTCCGACAGCTCATGCGAGAGCTTCGAGAGGGTCTCAGGATCGCTTGTATTCATCGCGACCGGTTCGCTGCGCACTCTCGCGCTGCCGTCGCCAGCGACGAAACCGGTTGCGAGAGTCTGTTCGAGGAAGACGTCAAGTATTTCGATGAGAGCTTAAAAGCCGTGTTTGAAGTCTATCTAGATTATCTTCAACAGTGGGTAGACATGGTGCAGCACGATAGCTTTCATAAGAATCTGATCATGGATGAGTGGTTGTTTGTTAAGTCCATTGCTGGAAACATAAGTGATGGATACAAGATTGCTGGTATGAAATTCTAGTAAGTAAAATATCGAAATAAGTTAAATAAAATAATCCAAATTATTATTTTGTGATTATTATTATTATATTTAAATTTTTATTGTTATATGTTTGTGCTATTTTTTATAGCGAAATTGCACGTACGATGATCAAGCAAGTTAATGAATTTCTCACTGAACGGACTCGCGAGATCTGCGAAAATTTGGAAGAAAAGGAGGACGACGAATTGTCATGCAAGTAAGACAGAAATTTAATTTGTTTACCTATGTTTTACTTATGTTTTACTTATTTTAGATACTTTATAGTTATTTGTTTTACAGTGAAACACAATTCAGATTCCATTTGTTTGTGGGCCGCGAGTGGCAGGGAATGTTTGTAGAAGCTCGGGAAAAAATCGTGAAGAGCATCAATCTTGCCAAATGCTTGAAACGCGATATCGAGAAATGGCCAGTAATTGATCAGAAATTAGAGGAATCATTGAAACTGTTGAAGGTAAAGAATTTTGTATATAGACTTTTTTGAGAAAAACTAAACAAAAAGCTAAACATTTTCTTGCCTTTTTTTATTTATAGAATACAGTTCTAGCTTTAAGGCATCGCATAACAGTAGTGATCGAGGATTTTCAAAAAAATGTCGATGAAGTGGAACAATTGAACACCGAGAACGATCAAACACCTTTACGTTCGAGAATCCGCGAGATTCTTCATCAAGCTTACAGAATGGGCTTCGAATTTCACAAGGAGATGTGCAAATTGTTCTCGCTAGAAGAAAAGGCCATTTTAGCACGGGGTCTAGTATCATTCGCGTTGTTATGGATGGAATTCGTAAGGACGCGATGTGAGCGTGGCCGCGGCTTAAGACCCAGATGGGCGAACCAAGGTCTGGAGTTCTTGATAACGGTGTGCGAACCTCAAAACACGAAACATCTCACCGATCAAGAGTTTGAAGAGTTGAAGACATGCATGGATCATTGCATATCTCATGTGGTGGGAACAGTATCTGTTGTAGGATCGACGCCGGAGACAGAAAGTAGAGTAATCTATGATTTTCTTGTTATAAATTGTAATTCTTTTATGGCAGCAGTTTCTTGATTACTTTTTGCTGTTATGAAATTTAAGTGGAGACTAATTCAATTTTTTATAAATTTCTGTCAAACAATCACCTCAAATATTTGGCCATAAAAGTGTTTAAATGAATAAATTTTATTGCGATTTTTAATATTTTTTGTTTTTAGATTTAAGAAGACTGTCGCGATCAAGAGCTTCATCGCCGAGTCATGGTCGTACTAGAACCACGAGCATGAGTCTTCCTCAAAAACCACGGGAAGCTTTGAAGTCACCCGACTTATTGGTTAATGCGAAAAAATATATCTCATCGAGCATGGTTGACGGTAACCTTTTAATAGTAAACACATCCGAACAGGGCATGCAGAGGCATGAGAGAGTCATTCGTGCGATCCAAAAAACGGAGAGTGATCTCGATGAAAGATTAAGGAGTCGAGAGCTCATCGGACAAGTCACTGACAGAAAAGGAGTCGATAGAGTTCATATCAAGATGCGAAGAGTTACATTCACGTGGCAGAGAGGTATTAAGATAGGTACGTTAAAACTATTTGTTATTGGTAATTATCTATCGTTAAATGAACATTCATAATTATAATATTAACGAACGAATTTTATTATGCAGGCCAAGGAAGATTCGGTAAAGTGTACACAGTAGTGAACAATCAAACAGGTGAACTGTTAGCCATGAAAGAAGTGCAGTTACAACCTGGCGATCACAGAGCGATCAGGCGTGTTGCTGAGGAATTACAGATATTCGAGGGAATCCAGCATCAACATTTAGTGCGATATTACGGACTGGAAATTCAGCGTGTACGATAAACATAACATAATCGTCGAGACGATATGTCATTTTGTAGTACAATAAATATGTATTATTATTTTATTTTTAGGAAGAGATGTTGATCTTTATGGAATTCTGTGCGGAAGGAACTCTTGAGAGTTTGGTGGCTGGTAGTGGCAACGGATTGCCAGAATCTTTGGTCAGGAAATATACTCATCAACTCCTTTCGGCTGTAGCAGCGCTGCATTCTCATGGGATAGTTCATCGAGATATTAAAAGTATATTAAAAGTATATTATTCAAAGATGGTTTTTGATAAGGTAATATTATCCAATCTGTATTATTTTTTACAACTGCACTTTTTTTTACAGCTGCGAATATCTTTTTAACGAATGAAGGCAATTGCCTGAAACTCGGTGACTTTGGTAGCGCGGTGCAGATTAAAGCGCATACAACGATGCCTGGGGAACTCCAAGGTTTTGTCGGCACTCAAGGTTTGTGTTTCAATTATATAATAAAATCTTTCATAGATTTATCATGCAATTTATTATATTACTGATATTAAAAATTTAATAAAGTATCTGAGGAATCTTTTTATGAATATGAAAAATACATTCTTATTACTTAATTTCTACTTAGCACTTAATTATTTTATTATTTAAAGCTTATATGGCACCGGAAGTATTTATGAAGTCCGAAAGCAGTGGACATGGCAGAGCTGTCGATATTTGGTCAGTTGGTTGCTGCATCATTGAAATGGCGAGCGGACGACGGCCGTGGTCGGATTATGATTCGAATTATCAAATTATGTTTAAGGTAACCTTGTAATTAAATTTTATAATAAATTGTTATAAATTAAGCAATTATATATATATAATAATTTTTATAATTTTAAGAAGATAAGAATTAAAGTTTTTTAAAATTAATAATTGAGAAATTTAAATTTAAACTACCTTTTTTCTTTTTTTTTTTTACAAGATTTATGTGCGCGCGCATGTGTATGTATATCTGAAACTGAAACTTTTTTAAAATTATTTTATATTATATATATTAACATCATTTAATTCGAAATTTTTTACTTTTATAAGGTTGGAATGGGAGAAACACCAGCACTTCCTAAGAATCTTTCTGTAGAAGGCATAGATCTAGTAAAGAAATGCCTGCAGCATGATCCAAAGAAAAGATCGACTGCGAATATACTTCTTACACATTCTTTTGCACTAGGAGAGTACGAAGACGTCAACGCTGACTTAACGATGTTAAGGGTATTAAGAGTATTCAGGAAAGTGTGAGTATCATTTAGGAATTTTTTAAACCTTTTAAATGTGTAATCTTTTTCTCTCAGTGATTTTGAAGTAAAATACATTTTTGCATAGACTTTGTTGTGTACACAAATAATTTTTTCAAATAAGTTCCAATGCTTCATAAATTTAATGTAATATTCAAAAATGAATATAATTTCTTTATTTCTTTTTCTTGTATCTACTATCTTTATCTACTTTTCTTACAGGGAATAACTTGGTCTTTGCGAAAATGTAAAACTGGCATATGTACTTCATTGGTAAAATTGTTTCACAAGACATATAACATATTATATGTTGGTTATATTTTTTATTTGCATTTTTCATAGATTTAGCTATTAATATATATTTTAATGAGACTTTGTTAAAAGTATATAGTATTTATGGCAGACTATATAAAGAAATGGCAATTGTATTTGAGAATACTTTAACCATTGATCAGATATCGGATCAGTATATAATACATAAGTACTATTGTGATCATATAATTTACAAAAAGATATAATTATAAGGAATTTATTTCATAAGAAAAAACACTTTCTTTTGTCTACAATTAATAAATGATGAAGTTAAAATATGTTTAATAACACATTTTTAGCACTGATAATTGTTGCAAACTAAATTTTGACATATATAGCTAGCAAAATGTAAATAACAAAATTAAATTTTACAAATAATTCGAAACAAATTTTGTCCTAATAGAATCTTTGATAGAGACTGAATGATAAGATTTACTAAGAAATATTTGATGGAAAGAAAAAGAAAGTGTAGTTTTAGAGATACCCTTTGTATCTTTATATCTATTACGTGTGATCTATTACGATGATCTAAGCTAGCCATGCTAGAATAAGTTCAGTAACTTAGCTTGGTAAACTGGAAGGCAGTGAAAACATTTTGAAAATGTAATTTCATATAAAATCTATACATGCAATCTAGTTTGATTAAATAGTATCATGTGTTTAAAAGAATATACAAGGAATACACATATGGTGCATTTAGGTATATAAAATATAAAATTGAGAAACGTATATTTCTCTTTAGTTTTATCTAAAAGACAAAGGCAAAACATATATTTTTTGTTTTATATTTGCATTTATAGTTCATATAAGATATAGCATAGTGCTGCATACCTTAGATATAAATTGATATGTGAACAGTAAATGCAAGTCGCTTCACATTCCAAGAAATATATACACAATTAACATTAAATGTCAAACACTCATATCACAAACTCCATTTTTCAATTAGATATGTAAAATTCAAGTTTTGACGTTAGATGCGACTAAGAGATGTGATTAATTGTAAGTATTGTTAATATATATTTTTAAGGTAAGGTATGTCTTATATAACGGCAGCTTCGAATGTTGTGTCTACATTATGTTAATTTGCTTCGTAGACGAAGTGAATGACTTGTTACTATTATACAATAAAAATTCTATTTTAAATAAAACAAGCGAATAAAAGAATAAAACGGGCAACAACAGTTGTTATTTTGATGGAGTTTATTTTTCTGCACGAGGAAACGCGTACACACGTGATGATACAACATACTTTGTGGATCAATTACTTAGCAGAGGTATGCTGTGTATGCTTTCCGCGCGCATACGGAAAGCCGAATGTATTTATTCGTTTATTTATCGAACGTTTTACGCACGAAGGTATATAACTTACGCCATGATTTTTAATTCTTATATCTGAACAATTTCTTTATCTTTAAGGAAAGAAATTTAAATTTTGATTGTACATTTATTTATTTTGTAAAATGCATTAAGTAGCTCAACTAAATAAATAATTTTAGCCAAAAAGATTGAATAATTTCTTTCACTTATAAAAAATAAAGAGATCTAAATTGTTCATTTAAAAATTAAAATCAGTCATACATTACCCAAGAGCTTATGCAAACTGTGCAAATAATGGGCAATTATTTAAAATATTAAACTAAATATGTCAAATTATGAATATGTTTGCGTTAGAATTTCTGTTATAAACTATTGGGTTGTGTATGAATTATTTATAATATATGACGTCAAAAATATAGCTAGAAATCATTGTTTTAATTTTCCTGTATTATGGTGTATCGGATCTTATTTTTTATTTTTTGCACCTATTATATCTATATCCAGTTACGACAATAATTTAATTTTTTCTTCTGCATATGTTATATAAGAAACTGAAAGTATAAAACGATGAAATAAATTAAGTATGATATATATATAAAGAATTTGACCAACGGAATCAACAATATTGCAATACATCATATATATCTCAATGATATTCATGTATCATGTAACACAATAAAATAAGAATTTTTAATAGAATTAAAAATTTTTTATGAAAATAATGAAAAAGTGATTATGATATTTACAACAAAATAATTATCATTTATATTTGATGTTTAATATTATTACATAACACATGAATATTATTCTCACGATATTTAATATATAAAAAATTAAAAGCAAAAAAGACTGTTAAATTACATTAGATAAATCGGGTTAAGAATTATAGATAATATTTTATATTACATGAGAAAAAGAGACAAAAGACAAATTAAAATCTTTAAAACCTGACTTAAATGATTGCATTCCCTATAATGGCGTTTATTACACTAAAGTATGACATTATTATTCTCACATGTGCCCCTATAATTCTCGTTTTATGTAGCATACTTCGTAACCTTGCAAAGATTCAAGCACTGATCGAAGAATGGAAAAGCCCAGTAAATGTACAAAAAAATTAGTATATATATATACTAATTTTTTAATGAATATTTTAACAACAATGAAAGCGACCTTTTCGCACACAACGATTCGCATACGTAAACCTTGACGCTTAGTTTTATATTTCTTGTTGATATTCTTAAAAGAGCATATGATAATTGCTCTTATAAAATTATTTCATTAAATTCTCATAATTCCATAAGATGAATCCTACATCTATTACTATTAATACTACTTTCACAGATACGCTATAATTATATATTTATACTTTCATTCTTATTACGCTTTACCACTCCGTGTGACGCTAACATTAACAGTCTTAACGCATATTAAAGTGTATATTTTCTAATAATCAACATGTTTGTAGAAATAATATTTCCATCACTCATAACTATAGATACACCGATTGCTTATAGATTTTTGGAACTATGAGAAGTATTTTTAATTGCCAATTATATATAAGAATTTTTGTCGTAGTTTTAAATATCTGCTGTGTTTCTCGGGTCTTTTGCCAATTATTTCATATATTTGTCTTTTATTTAACACACATTAAATGTATAATTTTTATATTTAAAATTCATTGAAATGAATATCAATGTTGATTGGCAATTATTATTCGTTCCATAATTAAACATGGCAGTACTTACATCGTGGAAAGAATTATAGAACCATTTTGTCGCGGTTCACGCAGTACGAAATTGAGATCACTCCAAAAACAACGATTAATTTAACATATCGATATATTTTTATCTACTATAGACTTAGAGAACTCTCACAAGTTATATGTTTGTAATTACATTCGTAAGCGTTCCTATCGATTTATCAGGATATGTCTTATCCCAGAATAAGATCGTTCGCTACGTTGGCTTTCGCCTGATATGCATACGATATTCTTGGCCGCAAAAATGCGATCACAATAGTTTCTCGCGATATGTATAAGTAAAGTATCTCTAATCGTATTTTCTGGTCTTAAATTACTAATAGTAGTTTATATAGTATTTGTGTTTTTCTCTCTTATATCTAATATAGAGAATACTTGTACATATCGTATACAGGGTACAACTGAAACAAACGGGAGAAGAGGGAAATAATACATTTTGGGAGCGAGTCGCACCGGAAATATATATAAATATATATATGTATATAATAAACTTTATAATTAAACTTAAGAACATTATCAAATATTGATGCGATTCGCTCCGAAAATGCTTTCAACAGATAATGCACATTTTTTTGTGGCTGTCCCCTGCATACGAACATGTACGTACATACTTTCGAACGCGCACGCGTTATATAATATACACATTTTTTTGTCCCTTTCACCGTTTTTCTAACAATAACGAAGAGGCACCGTGCTCTCTCGTACATTTCGCGAGTGATAAATTTTTCGCCTGCTTTTCCCCGCGCGATTAACTTTAACAAAATTCGAAGACGTGATTTATAACGAATCAATCGGGCAATGATAAGCTCGGAAAAAATGATGCGGCGGAATATTTTAAGACTGGACAAAAAATGTTGAAATTTTTAATTGAACGAGCTAGATAATTCGCTTAACAAATTAACAAAGATTAATACAATAAAATAGAAAAAGACTCTAACACGATATCGTAAAATATGAATAACATATGAATAACATATAAATAACAATGGATCTGTACATTTAACGTTGATAGTATATAAGTAGGAATGAAGAAGATTCGATATATTAAAAGTTAAGGATAAGAATTTCTTTTACTATCAGAATAGCACGAGATATCAAGATTATGACGATAAGTCACATGATAAGATATGTAGATATATTTCTCGCACAAATTTGATGGTAAAAAGATTTCCTTGTCCTAAGCCTTTTCTATTATATCGATTTTCCCTCATTTTCTTTAGCAATTAACTAGAATTATGCTTTAATTGACTAGAATTAGGAAGCTAATTAAATGCGATACTTAAGCACTTTACTTAATAATCGTGACGAGATGGTGCTTTTCGCTAATCAATCATCATTATGACTAGAACAATCACACGATACTATTAATAGTAACACTAATCGGTACGAGAGGACACGGCGAGCACAACAGATCGTCTAAATTATTTAAATCGCCGAAGAAGTGCGTAATTTTTTTACTTTTATCCGGTGAGATGATTCAAATGTATTATTGTTGAGAAAAAAGGCATTATCAATGAAAGAATTATTATTATATGAATATAATTTTATGCATGTGCATCTGATATATATATCTTAAATATGTAATAGATTTTTCTAAAAAGTCAATATTTAATATCATAGATGTTATCTCATCTTATATTAATTGCAGATTTTTTAGTTCATTTCGATTAAATTTTTTTTATTAAAAATATTGAAAGAAACAATTATATTTATTGTATAACTTATTACTTTTTAAATATATGTAACATTTTCTTGACTAAAAAGCCACACATTAAATTTTTATTGTTTGTTTTAAAATTAAAAATTTTTTTATATTTCATTATTAATTATTAAGAAATCATAGATGACTCGAATTTAAATGAGCAATAATTTCGTCTTATTAAAAAATGCGAGATAAAACATCTTTAAGATACTATTTTTAAGAAATCGTTTTGATATTTAAGCTTTTATTTGACTCTCTTTCTTAACTCAACAATAATACATATTAAATCATCATCAATGCGGCCTAATACGAGCGTAATAATATCAACATAGAAATCGCGTCGAGCGATAAATTTGTCTAAATTGCAGAATTGGTAAGATCTATTTCCTCCAATTCGTGAGATCAGCACATATTAATACCAAGGTTTGAGACCGGTATAGCATACATCAATGAGATCATCTTTGTTTACATCTTTAACATTACGAAATCTGAAATCTCAACAAAAGAGAGATTATCTCATAGATATATATATAACTATTATATATCTCTCAAGATATTAATTACATATACTACGATTATATCAACATTAATTACACGTGCAATTATCATTGAATTTCAATAGTTGTAGATGTAGTTAATTACAATATCAATATCGGTCTCAATCCCTGGCTAGGTATAGGTAATCGGCTATCTAGATTGTAAATCGTAGGAAGTAGAAGAATAGCGCGATAGAGACAACAGATAGAGCTATACCGTCGACGATCGACCCCGTCTCTTGACAATCTCGAGCGGCGCGATCCGCCGACCTACCTAAGAATTGGACAAGAGTTTACTGTGCGGGCGCCAACATACGATGAGATTGGCCACATTTAGAGTGTTCCTGCCTGCGGTAGACGAGCCCCGCGCGCTGGAAAGCTACGTCTGCGATATAAGGTCAACGTTCATGTCAAGTCAACCGTCGAAATCTCGCAAATTGGATCGCATCTCTAAAAAAGAATAACAGTAACTTGGTCAATCTATGAGAAAGAATGCGAATGACGCGATGAATTTACGAGAAAAGCGAATCGTTTCACTATAGAATGATAGTGCGGATAGCTTTGCTCTCAGATGACTTCCAAAGTTCTTCTTTGAAGAGTCGATTTTGCGATGGAAAGAGATTAAAAACGCGATATCATTCATATTTCAAGATGTAGGAACATTATTTGCTCGACGGAGAAAAGTTGTTGCACTCAGCAAATCGATGGACGAGTGTCGACGTATTCTTAAAGTATAAGCTCCTGAAAGTACGAAACGTGGCAGAAGAGCGACTTTTCCAGCGCTCGGGCATAACACTCGAAGAAACTTTACTCCTCTCTCCTTGAGCGGACTAGAGTTTTTAAAACGATCTACAACGTACTCGTCTAGTATTTGACGGCTACCGCTGAAGGATCTTCAATTCGCTAATGATGCGAAATGATGTTCACGCACGTGCTTGTGTATATTTTGTATGTAGTCTCCTCTAAAAAACAGACAAGTTCTTCTAGTATTAGACCATGTGATCGAAGAGTACCTTAAGGATTACGACAGCTTTCAATGAGTTTGCGCGCTTCGGCGACGCTCATCTACCTTCCTCTTTTATACTCCCTAAGGATTATATCAAACCAGCGATATATCTAACGAATTGTGCGGGAACGAGTTCCTAAATCTTTCTGCGCTACGCCTACGCTCGCATTTCTTAAATCTATACGACAAGTATTTCCTGCGTGCAAGGGTGCTTTGAAAGTCGTGCTCCCCGTGTTTCCTTCACAATGAATAGTTAAATGCAAATAATTCATCGTACGAAATCTATATGAAACTGCCATTTTCTCAGCTTTGAAGTCTGACGACGCAAAGATGATACGGAAATAAGAAAAAGATGCCGTTTACTGCTGTAAAACCGATTCGAATGTTTCGACAGCGTGTCAAAAGACATCAAGAAGTGGGCTGTCATTCAACATGCGTCTCGTAGGTTCAATACGTTTTGAACCACCCTCGTGAGTCGTGAGAAGCTCACCCTCTTCTATCTCACCTCTACATCCCCGTCAGGACGGACGGGAGGTTGTATTTGCAGCTCTAGGTTAATCGAGCATCTATCACTTCTTCGAATTCTTTATCATAGCCGCCATATCCCGCAGACTCTGCTCCAGCGTTTGCGCGAATTGCATCGCGCTGGTCCGGCCATCGCTGTGAAAGGCCGAGACTGAGAAGATGAAGCCGTTTTTCCTCACGTTGTAAGCACATCCGTAACCATCTGGCACCACCGGTCCGTACCCGACGATCACGTCATTCTTCGTGGTCACCTGTAAAATCGATCTTCTCTTCATTTAAGGTATCATGTTATTAATATCGGCGCAAGAGAAATTTGTTCAAGTCTATTCTATTTGTTTAAGTCAACATTTAGACATTTTTTGATGCTATTATGAAGCTAAAGAAGATATCTTATTTTTAGAAAAACACGAGAGATTTCAAGTGAATGGAATGCAAGATTTAAATTTTATGGAATATTTTAAAAGAAATATCTCTCACGATAGCAGGATAATAAATGTCACGTTGGAATCTTATACACATAACTCTACATTAATTACATCACTTCTTCTTAAACAAACTGATCGTGCCGACCTCGAGCTGTCCGAATCATTAACTACCTGTATATAAAGGTGTTTGTAACACGTCCGGGTCTTAACTCATATTATCGTCGTGACAGACGACTTTAAATAACGGTCTTTAGGAGCCGCATTGGCGTAATAACAGATAATTAAAAAGCAAAGAAAATATTCTATTCTATAGACAGATTTTAAATTATCACTAGCTGTCATCCTTTCAAAGAAATCAATACTATTGAAACTTCTCAGATACATTTATAACGCAAGTATATTTTTAATTATAATAAATAATTTGCAATATATGCGATGCATATAAACATCGTGATATAAATTGGACGGCAAAAGTGTCGCGAATTTTGCGAGATCGACGCCGATGACGGATTCGGGAGACTCGATCGAAGAGATTCGGATCGTCCCTGATCACTGACCTGTGACGTCGAGAGGGCGAAGTGATTAACGATCGCGTAAGCCTCGTCCGTGAAGAGCTCCGACATCGGCTCGCCGGCCTCCTTCGCCGCATAACGTAGGCCCATCAAGTGGTTGTCGATACCTTGACCATATATGTTGTCATTCATCTCTTTGGTCTGCCTTTGCACCGCCAGGTCAAACAGCTCCTTGATCCTTTCCGCCTGGAGAAGCGAGCCGGAAGCAACGTTCAATTGAGTCCAGCGATCGATTTTGCGATTCTTCTTTCGACGAAGATTTTCGCAATATATCGAACAACAATATTCGGAGAGGAATTATGAAGGAACTATTACATTTTTTATTTTAATCATATGAATTAGATGGCTGATTTACTTTTATGATATTCGAGAAATTTCATTTATGGATTACTTAGTGAATTGTAAGCCAATCTTGTCGTAACTAATAATAATAATTTCTCTCCTTTATGATTTAATTGTACAATGAATTTCTTTTGTGATTATTTTGTAATAGAGACAACACTGTGTGTGTGATAAGCCTTCTGCTTTTGAAATGTTACAGTAAAAAGCAACATTGAACATAAAAGCAATAGACATTTATTGTTAAATAAACGTTTTTAAAATATCACATATTAATATATGAATAAAATGATAAAGTTAATATCACAAATTAAATTAAAATAAGTTATATTAGATGGAAAAAATAATTAAATATATATTTTGATAAAATAATTAAGTTTATCGATCAACCAAGATATGAAGCAAAAGATATCATAAATTAATGGATTGTTTCTCGAAAAAGATGCGTTTGTTTGAAGCAATGTTTTGATAACGAACATTCGCTATGAGAAGTCTAAAAATGAAGATGGGGGGAAAAGGAATGGCTGAGATAACACATCGGGGATGTGTTGTAAAGGGGAAAACAACAGAGCACGGTAAATGAGAAACAACAGCTCGTTGCCGCAGTATTTTCCGAGCGAGGGTGGTTCGTGTAAGGGAAACAAACGGAATATCCTCGCGAAACTTGCCCGGGGTCTCTCGAGGATCGTGTAAACACTCCATCGCGAAGGAAAAATGAAACTGAACTCTATCGCGGCCAGGTCTAATTGATTGCCTTTTTCTAGAGTATTTATTTTTTTCTTTTGTTTATCGTCCGGCGCAGCTGCTCAAAATTATAAATTTTATTTAATATACCGTTTTTTGTAATTGCATCTTCTTCTTTGTTTTGGATTTCTTGTATTAAAACTTATTTTAATGCTTTTTATCTTTGTGTATAATAGAACATAAACTTTTAAAGAAAAAAATGAATATGATTAAAAAGTATAAGTTGCTCAATATGCTTTTGATCTCAAAATAAATGACGTATATATATATATATATATATATATATATATATATATATATAAATTTTTTAGCACAAAAATTCACATATAACACTTTCACACACCAATATTTTCGTGCAGATTATAGATTAATATACATATACATAGTGTATAATAAATAGCAAAGCATTGAAAATTGTGTAATTATAAAAATATTACATTGAAATAATCAATTAACGAAATTAACGACGACAAATATAATGTAAATAATAATAATAATCTAATCTGAATGAAAAAGATATGTAATTTTTAATAACGAAAGACAAGGGACATACGTTTAACGGAAAAGCACCATAAATCGAAACCTTTTCGTAAGTAGATTCAATTGGCAATGCAAATGGACAATGCGACCAACCATTGAGAAACTTTTCATAGCACTGCAAAAAATATATCGTGATATACATAAATAACAATATTTTTGAGTATACAATTACTTTTTGAGATCATAATTACTTTAAATTTTTTTAGAAAATAAAATTGCTCTGCAATAATTATTAAAATGCACATTTGGAAAATTACCGACTTAAGAGATTCCCGATTGAAAATATGAAAGATTTTTGCAAATAACATTTTTAATTAGCAATCTTTTAAATTGTAAAAAAAATTCTTGCAATGCACACTTTCAATCATTATAATATCCATTATTTTTAATTTTGTATCACCGGCACGTATACAAGGTTTCGTTATTTTATGCAACCAAATGGGTTTCTTAATTAAAAAATTATTCATAAATTATTGTATATTATTATAAATTAAATTATACAAAATATACAAATTATACAAAATATATAATATATAACTCATGTATAAATAAAATTTATTTATTTATAAAATGCAATTAGCGTGGCAGAATAAGGCAGAATAACGAAGCTAAAAAGTAAAATAAATAAACGCATTCCGCTCGACCTTGTCGCAACTCTGTCGAGTCTACTCGAGTTGTGTGTTTTACACGACACGAGAATCGCATAAGAAAAATGCCAAGTTTCAGTTACACTGTAAATGGTGAACTGAACTCTTTTGGGACTCCCGTCAACGGCATTGTTGGACTGACTCGTTTGACCGTGAGGATCACCCTGACACATGGCCTTCGCCCACGCGAGAGCTTCCGGACTGGCTGCCCGGATGCAGTCCACTCGACCTAACGCGAACCTTCGGATGCCAGCGCTCTCGTAAGTGGCCACTAATTTCCCATGGAGTCTGCAAACATCACAAGATCGTTCCAATGAGATCAGCAAATGCTTGAAATTTAATTTGTCGATGCTTTGATTCTTCATCGAATTATTCTCAAGAGATTTTTCATTGTTTGATGATAATAATAGAAGAGAAAAATAAAAGATTTTTGCCATCAAAATGTCATTAAAAAATAAAAGATGGAAAAAATTCAATAGTATGAATTAAATTTAAAGAGGACAATTCCATCAATTCTAGATATTTTACCTGAAATACGTCAGCTGAAGCGCCAATTGTATATACGCATCGGGACTAACTCTGCATGATTTTATGAAGTCTTTGGAATAATCTTCGAACCACAAAATACAAAGATCCAAATCTTCAACCAGTCTAAACATAAAAATATTATTTCTGATTGTGGATACAAATTTAGGCACAGGAGCTTTTCTTTTACAGGACGATCAATTACGCAATATATTGCGCTATAAATAAGAGAATAAAGATTTTTCAGAGTCGATTTTTCTTTAACAATTTTTTCCACGAATTTGATTTGCTGTAAAGAAAAATAAAGCCTTCGTATGATCTTCCGAGTACTCACGCATCAAAGTTTATCATAGCTTCTCTGATGTCGTTCAGACTTTGCTCGGTGAGGCACCATTCCAGTTTCTCGGGCGCCGGAAGATGCGAGGGTACTAGATTCTCATCCGGTGGTGACATAGAGTCCACTTTCTCGGTCAAGTCCTCGAAAGCTTTGAAGATGGCTGGTGCCTCACCAGCGGAATGCTCGTACGTTAATCCCCACATTCCATCCTGCGTTGTAAAGATGTATGAAAAAATCATAGACCAGTAGCTATTACTAAAATAACGAGATTCATTTGAAAGCTCTTTTTTAAATGCTAGAAACTACGAATAACTTTCATTAAACAATAATATTATTGTCAATTAATTTGGAAATATATAAATTACATAAGATTCTAATTCAAGTAAACCATGAGAAAATGATTTAAAAAATGCTAATTATATTTAAATAAAAATGCTAATAATATAATAATAAAAATATAAATGCTAATTATATTTAAATAAATATATAATATAAAAACAAATGTATTAAATATATAATTAAAATTTATAATTCATCTATTTCCATTTACGTATATAGATATTATTACATAATATTATTTCAATTATTATATTAACAAATTAATATATGATTTCATTAATAAATAATAAATAATATCTACATAATATCTACATACATGATTAAAATGAAAAATTAAACTATCTCATTTACATTAATTTACACAATTCATACAATTTGCAAACCTACATTTGACCCAATTTGATCATTGCAAATACATATGTATATAGACACTGGAAATATAGACACAGAAGCTATAAATACCGTATCTCTAGCACGACAAATTAATTACTCCATCACAAATAGCATAATATGAAATTGGGTTGAATTATATCGCTATTTTTCCCCAAGCAAATATCGCGATAAGAAAGGATTAAAAGGTATTTCATCGCACAGGATATGAAAGCGCGGTGTCGTAAGTCGCAGATTCACGAATAACGATTTCGCCCGTGAACCCTGACACCAATCATATCGAAAGGTAGTCTTGGAAACGGTGAAAGTGATAAGTTCAATTTGACCGAGGGGAATCTGCATCCGCGGAAAATACATAAGTATCCACCGCGAGTCGTTAGCTGCATTTGATTGAGGATTCGCGAAGGATTGCGAGTGGCGCTATTTTATGCGTACCGGGTATATTATTTCGCGCCGCATTGCGTATTTCCTGTTTACATCTGGTCGAACACACGTTTACCCTTGCGCGCGTTAATGTATTGCATTAATCAGCAGCTCGATTTCCCGTGTAATCGAATCTGAAGTCGATCTAATGTTGCATACACAGAAAAAAAGAACATTCTTGTTTTGAAAATATTATTATTTAACATAATAATTTTAACATCGAAATCTTGAAATTAAATTATATTACGTTAATTAAAGAAAAATATAATTGCTTGAATAATTGCTTACTTGAATGAAGTCATTTTATATAGTTCAATCGAGAAAAATATATTCTTATGATTTAAGATTTAATTGTCTTGAATGGAATTTAATTGTCTTGAATGGAAAAGAAACAATGTTAGATGGAAAATAGCATTTTTAAATGAAAAATTATAATTTTTTTAAAGAATTAAATAATAGAATTAAATAGTAGAATTAAATAGTAGAATTAAATAGTAGAATTAAATAATTATATATTCTTGAGATGACAATTACAATATTAAACTAGACTAAAGACTATAATGTTGTTGAAATTTAAAATTCTTCTAAGGAGATTATAAATTGTTGCGTACATACGAAACAATGAACGCGTTAGTTTAAGTATATAAGTTTTGATTTGACACTTATTTTTTTTCTGTGTACGTTAATTAATGTTATGATTGCATTTAATTACGTTTATTTAAACTCGATCGTTAAATTAAATGTATACATACCTTGCCGAGAATAGCGTGGAAGGTCTTGTCGAACCAACGATTCGCGCCCAAGTGTCGGGACCCTCCGCCGTGAAGAGCGTGATGAAGCACGTTCGCGTAATCTCGATCGCCAATCCATCGGTCCTCCTTCTTCATGGGATTGTTAAACGTGGTTGGCAGCACATCGTCGTCGATGCAAACGACGCATAGACAGCGCTCCAACAGCTCCAGATTGTGACGATTGCGCTCGTCTAGAAGTCGTTTGTAGTGTCTCTCGTTAATTCCGATAATGATCAGCTACAATGATATCGGGATTTTCGCACCGAGTCTAACATTGTTATGTTCTGTTATAATGTTTATGTGTGTAGCATAGGTATGTAGTAATGATGAAGTAACGGTACACTGCAGCTGCGATAGGAATCAAACTGGAAAGAAATAATAGAAATAATTGCAATTTATTTTCAAAAATATTTGGAAAACAATTTTTTTCCTATGATATTTTTTTATTTCAAAATTAGAGAGATTTTTCACACAAATTAAATTTGAAATTGATTTAAGATACACATCCATAATTGGTATATTTTAAGAATTTTTATTAGTTTTACTGTGACATATTCACACATATAGACAACAAAAATCGCTTTTTTTATCGCGAAATGAGAAAGACAACAACTGGAATTACGTAACGTAGTTTAAATAGTTTAATTAATTTTAGTATGCGTTATCGTGTGAAACATCGGCACATTTGCGCTGGCGAGATCTGTCATAACACGGGAAACTCGGAGAATATTTTTACTTTAACGAGACTTCTCTACAATCTCTCTCTCTTTCGTTATCTATCCGCGATTTTCTCGCCGTTAATTAATCATGTCACAATGCATGTCGCCTTTAATTCGTTATTGCCAGCCGTTTATTCGATTTGTAGGAGTAGGTAGATAGATAGGTCGTAGGTTCCTGTTGAGCAAGGTCGGGTTAGAGAGTTAATGGGAATATTGCGAATATTGGTGAAGCGGAGAACGCGGGTGGATAATTATGGCAAGAGGGTAGACACGTGGCAACGAGGGTCGTCTAAAGACACAACTGGGCTAATATTTTTTGGGTAACTGGATCATCACGTTCCTCTTTAAAACGAGAATAAATCGTAATACAGAAAATAATTTTCGCGAATTTAAATTGATTACCTGATATTGAGATTAAGTTAATTTTATTTTTTATAAAAAAAATTAGATATCATGTATATAATTTAATAAAGTTTTACTTTCCTTGTAGATTAAATAAAAAATAGTAAAAGCAATATATTAAGAAAATTAAGGAATTGTGAAATAAAAGATCTCTTATTTTTCTTGAAAAACTGAAAAGTCACATGAGAGATTTTGCTTCAATTAATTTATTTTAATATTAAATAATAGCCAAAGTTTTTGGAATTTTTGACAATTTTTTGCGCTGTTCTTTTAAAATTTATTAAGTAAAAAGAAAGAGCTTAAAGTATGTTCTCTTCACGAATTGGGTGATCGTGTCTAATCGACATTATTAAATATTATACGCACTTTTTATCAGCTCCTCCCGCGCCTTCGCCCAGGCTGGTCGTTTCGCGGTCGTGAGAATTCCAACGGGCGGTGTTCTGGGATCGGCCTTAGTTTCCATGATCTTTAATAATTGTTGGACCAATTCGACTTCGGTGATGCGACCTCGATCGGACGCTCTTACCGGCACACTATAAAACTAGAACAAAATGATCAAAGTGGTATCACGCACATAAAATATACATATTTATGTTCTTGATATCATATTCCTCTATAAATATTACATCAATGTTGCGAATTAAATAGTTGAGTTTTTAACTAAATGAACGTGAAATAGTATAATATAATCGATAAATGAAATTCTTGAAACACTAAGAGCGAGATTACACGCGCATTAATTACAACATTGTTCAACTTTGATTCACGTCGTTACCTGATTATGATGCGCGACAATAATATGGTCGCCGGAGGACGCTCTATCCAGGATAATTTGCTCGTCGACGTTCACACCGGGTCGTCGATAAATCCGAAACATTTGATAATGCTGCGCCATGCAAAGCGGTTGCATGGTTTTACCGTCCTTGGACTTCACACGTTCAACTTCCAATCCGGATCTATTCAAAGTTTAAAGCTCATTTTTTTTTGCATCGCGGTATTTTATTTTGCACGTTCCTCTTTGTCATATATAAGTGAGATAAAATAGCCTTTTAATGAAAATATGAAGAACAGAAGCGTGTAAAAATATCCATAAAAATATAAATATTGTTCATTTTGAAATTCTTAATCAGAAGGAAAATCAGTCTTAATTATTAGTATTAATAACTTAATATTTAATATTATATGTTAATAAAATATATTATATGTTATTAAATTATTTTATTTAATATATTTTAATATTAAATTACTAATATTAAATTACTGATTAATATTTAAAATATTCTTATATTAATTATTATTAAAAATTTAATTGAGACATTTGCACATTTTCGATGGTAAAAATCTTAATATCTTAATAAAAATAATGAAGTTTGGAAAATCCGAAATCATACAGGAACAGGATCAATTTCCACAAGAACGCATATCTTCTCTTCTTCGCGAGACGAGACGGGCTATTAAGAAGACCGACGGCGGCCTCCCGCGAATTTGCGTTAGTTTTTGAAAGAAAGGACTCTCTACGCGCAGCCCCGGCTTATTCCCGTCCGGATGCAGGATACCGTGGATCCTTTGAGCCGCACGCGGAGCGGGAACGTCCGCTCATTCTCGTCGCGACTCCCTTTCCTCTTTATGCTCGCTTTCTATGGATCTTACAGTCCGGATTTCCTCGCAGACGTACGCCCTCTCTCTAAATTGATTTCAGTGCGGCTTCTTTTTGTCCCCGACAAGACGACGACGATGAGTCGATTGGCACGTCGCGTCTCATCATGTCGCTTTCTCGCGTCAATCGCGATTATCTTAAGTTGCTCTTTTCGATTTTAATAACGATCATCCTGAATGTATCATTTGAAATGAAACAATAGTGTTTGCAGAAAAATAATCATACCAAAGATGAATCGAAAATGTCATTGAAAATGAAGTTGAACATCGCTATATCTAAGGAAATTTTGTTTCAGGAACTCCTTCAGCTTGGATCATCGGAGAGAAAGAACAAAGCTGCTGGAGAATTGGAGCATTACCTGTCGAGTAATTCCTGATAATTAAGCAGCTCGGAGAGAAATCGCGCGAGAAATACCGCAGCTTCCTGCTGGTTTGCAAATCTCTTCGGCTTCGCGGCCACGCCGGGGTTGCTGTTGATCGGCAGAGCCAGTGGGATGGACAGGTACATGTCATTTAGCCACCAATCTGTCGCCTGCAAACGAATCAATATATGTCGATAAATATACAAATATTTGTGCACACCTTGTGCAAATAATAATTATAAATTGTAATCAAACGAACGTAATTTTGCGTTGATTGCAAATTATAATTACAAAGGGAAGATTATTAATTGCTGGTTATAATTGAAAATTATATAACAGTCTTCGGTTTGATGGGTAATAACAATCGTTACGTTATAACGCGCAGTGAAGTATCGCGAGGTTGCACAATAATAATTACGTTAATTACTCGAGATGACGCCGCGCGACGTTGCGTGAAAGTATCCGGAAGTGGTTATACCACTTGAAATAAAACAAATTAGAAAAGAAATGCGCGTCGGGGAAATCGCATCAGTAGTAGTCACGAATGTAATTATTTGACCGACAATGATCTGAAATATGAAGTGCGAGAAAGACGCTAATATATCAAAGATTTGGACTTCCCGGAGATAAATCACTCATTCGGACAAAATTATTGCACGAAATTTTTATCAAAATCCACAAAGGCAATTTTATATAATAATAATATGTGCTATGTGTTTCGTAGAGGCAAGAAAGTCAGCGACATATTTTAAATCTTGCATCTCCGATATTTCTTCCGTTGTAAATTACATCATAAGCACGAGACTTAATTTCGATTTCCTGCACTTTTTTAATTGCGTATAATTTGTCGCGTAATTTAACGTCGCTTTAACGTCGCGACGTCGTTTTTCATATTCGATAATCGGGGATTAGCCCCGGCGCGTCATTAAATGCGGATTAAACAATCGAATTTTGTCGCTGCCTTCATTTTCGGTCGCGTGATTTAAAGTCGCTCGCTCTAAAAGGGGAAAAGTGTGTTCAAAATCATATTCAAAGAATGTTTTTAAAAATCATAGCACACATAAATCATAGCATCTAAATAGATTTTTTATTATATTAATATATGTAAAGTGTAGCAGAAAATGTTAGGAATGAACTTAAAAATTAAAAAGCTAATCCTCAGAGAGATATTAAAATATTTTACAAAATTATATTCTCTCTTTGAATAATTTGTATAATTTCTATCTTGTTTCTCTTTTCTCTTTAGAATCTCTTGGATCAGAAAAATACTTTATTGAAATATCTTTTGATCATTCAACTTTAATCACCTTAAAAACGTGCGAATTCCCAGAACGACATTCTTTAATATCTCGCTCGTTTTAATACGCTAAGTAACTTAACGCTAAGTGTTTAATACTTTTATTCAACATTGTTATATCATTTAAAACTCGCGTATGTGTGTATTACGGGAAATATATAAGTGCGAAGTTTGTTACTCAATGCTACGTCCATATATTATTTTTTGTCGTTTTGCGAGATGTTTGAGATATCTTCTATTTATTTTATGATTCATTCGCGGACTTTCTTGCATAACGAGATAGTCGAGAAGATACAAATGTAGGAATATGTGTTATCGCCGCGTCAAGAAGAATGTTTTCCGCAACATCTGTCTCTCTCGCACGAGAAACTTATAGTAGAGAAACATACCCTGTTTATTTACGAGGAAACATGTGCATGTCCACAGTTTTGCGTCAACGTTTCATAATAGTACGAAATGTTTAATATCACGACAAAGTAAAATATAAATCGGGAGTTTAACTCTCATAGAGAGGCGTTTCTATTTAATTCAAAGTCAATTTTTGAAATAATAAATTTTTGAAAAACAAGCAATCTTTTCGAAGAATTAATTACTATACAAAACATTTGGATGTCAAAAGCTTGCGATAAAAATGAAGCCTTCCGGCCTTTTTGATCGATAAAAAATTTATTCCAGATTGATCAAAGAGTTCAGTAACGATAGAGAAATATTCAGTAGCGGAATATCCCGTATGATCGGACCATATATTTTAATGCTGGTCATGTCGCGCGCAATAATTGTATCATCCCTCGAAGCGGAGTTTCTTCTTTCTCGCGATTCCAGGTCAGTGTAACGAATCGAGAAGCTCGCATGCATGTTTCACGAAGTCCGTCCCCACGTCGATATAATGTATCAGGTGCTCCGTACTTTCGAATCGTCTATAGATAGAACTTACGAGCCCGACTTACCTCATATTCGCAGAATAGAGGCTATATTTGACCAAAGATGACATCGTTTCAACAGGCAGAAACGTCGGCGGAGATTCTTTTTTTAGATTGTCGATATAGTTTCGGTGATCCAAAGCGAACAACGGTATCGCGCATGGGAACTTTCTTTTTTCCGCAAACCGCGGATCTTTGTTCTCTAATAAATCTAGTCTCTCAATAACTTTTTTTTTTAAATTCAATGAGATGTTTAATAGAATTTTTTTCGATGAGGTTTCCGCAAAAAACATAGAAATCGACGAAAATTACGCGATTAAGATTGCAGTAAGATTGCGAGAATATGATCACGATTTCAATGGAGACGCGAATCTGCATGTACTTTGAATTGCCGTATCGTAATTGACCGCGTGGAAACAATATTTTTTACAGAATGTACCTCAAACACTCCTATTTTCTGTTTATTAGAAAATGGCGTTTCGTGCAGAAATTAATGATCCGTAATTGTTGTGACATTTAAGTTCGACGTATATAAGTACTATAGGTATCATTATACTCGCGTGTGTTGGACATTAAAAAGAAGCTGAGTGGGTGAGTATCGCTCTTCTGCATTATTCATTTCTTCGCCAATATAACAATTATTAGACCCTGCTTAACTCAATAATAATCTCTCTAATTTTCTAGTTTCCCATTTAATAGAACTTGAAAATCCGTGTCGTTTAATATCGGTTAAATCTTACTCGATGCTTTACGTTAATAGAAATTTTATTTCACAGAGCAAATAATTCATTAAATAAAATCTCTTTCTTTTTTATTCTACCAAGAAGATTTTTTTATATATCGCGTTGCATATTTTTGGGGAAATCTCATTTTGCTTAAAAAGTAAACGTTGCTCTTCTTTAAAATCTGTATCATTTAAAATCGGCTAAATTTTATTCGATACAAGAAGATTTTTTATACATCGCGTTGCATAATTTTTTGGAAATCTTATTTTGCTTAAAAAGTAAACGTTGCTCTTCTTTAAAATCTGTGTCGTTTAAAATCGACTAAATTTTACTTTGACTTTAGGCTAATAGAAATTTTATTTAATAGAGCAAACAATTTAATAAATAAAATCTCTTTGTTTTTTCTTCTGGCAAGAAGATTTCTTGCATTACATAACTGTTTAAAAATTTTAATGTGATTAAAAAGTAGAAACGTGATTTGTATTTCGATTAATTTATATTCGAGTATGATAAACGTTGTTCTTCTGCTCGGATGCGCATCTCTGCTACGAATCCGAGTTACGCAAAGCGAGATGTGCAACGTATCGTGAGCGCAAATCGGTTCACGCCAAGGGAGTTCGTCTCGCATAGTCGATCCATTGGACAAGACTTGTTCGACCGAAGAGAGCCGGCGACTTTGACTCCCGATCGCGGAGTCGAGCAGCTTCTTCAGGCATAGCCGAATATGTTTCGACAACGCGTTGCGCCACGTGAATTCACATGTGCAACGCGCTGCGCAACGTTGTGCTTATGCGAGGATGCACGCGAGCAAACAACGCGAATTTATCTTCGAATGCACCAAAATTTTAGATATTTATTTCAATCTATTTATAATCGAGAGATACATTGAAAAAAAATCTTCGGCAAATTTTAAAATTGAAAAGAATTTTGCGAGCATGCATAATTAAGATTTTTTTTTAAGCTTTAAATTAAATAAATTATTTTAAATTATTAAATTTGTCCCTCGAGAAGACGATTAAAATTGAAAGTAAAAAGAAGGAAGAATTAGATTAGCTAAATAAATTAAATTAAATTCGATATCCTTCAATTTCTAGAATTTACAAAAAATTATGTTAGTTTAATTTTTTAATTAAATTAAAAAATTAAACTAACATAATTTTTATACAGAAATATTGAATGAATTATTGCACAGAAATATTGAATTTTTTACTATGCATGTGAAGTTACGTTATGAATAAATCACTCTGTCTTTAGTTTGCTTTCAATTCAACAAGTCAATTATAATAATAAGCAGTGCATTTATTATACATATAAAAATATGAAATTGCACGTTTCCACAGCAATAGCTGTTGTAACACCACACTGTAATAATATATGGAATTCTTATTTCAAAACTGAGCGGCTTCTGTCAACTGCTACTTATCCAGGTTTACGGGTTAACGAACGTCTATCTCTTAATAAATCGCGTAAATGAACACGTTAGGCGATTTGCGTGTGTAATAATCGCGCTGCTTAACTAATTACCTTAACAACATGTAACTGCGTACTTGAAAAGACACTCGACGGCATTATGAACGTCTTGCGTCAGTCAGACCCACGTGTTCGCCGCATCTTCGCGCATGTATGCGTAATTAGTGCTCTCGCAAAAGGATAGGCACAGCGGTAAGTATCCCATTGACGTGAGATAAAGAGTCTCGAAGAGAGCTTGATTCGTTTCACGATACCGAGAGCGTTCACACGTCGTCGTCGGAGATCTGCGAAAGCGGATTCGTCTGCAATCTTCCTCGCAATCACGCGAACAATTACCAGATGCTTAAGTAATTTTGCTCTTGCACCTCGTGAACTCTCTCTAACGCGTTCCCTAATTGAAGATCTCAAACATTAGATACTAAAACTCGTGTATTTCTACAATATAACACACATATAATGCAAGCAATTAAGAAAATAGAAACATTTGATACATTGTCAAAAGTTAAGACAATTTTTATTAAAAATATGAACAAATTTTACATTTTTGACGTAAATAAAAATATGATCGATTAAAGAAGGGATGAAAAATAAGTCATAGGAATAGAATAAATAATTAAATTTTATTCGTCGATTAAAATTTCACGCTCATATGTATCAGTGGAAAAAGATCTCCAAGATCAGACAACGTCTCTGCTCGCGGCGCATGAATAAATGTTTGCGAAACAAGTTGACGTTTGACGTTTCGCGAACACGCCGCT